CAAGCTCTGGGAGCTGGTGATGGACAGGGAAGCCTAGTGTGCTGCAGTCCATGGGATCACAAAGAGTCAGACACGACTGAGCAACTGAATAACATCAGCAACTAATGAAGATAGAATGGGTAAATAGATACAGTGAGACTGAAGGGCTGGTTGGAGGCAGGAGGTGGTAAGGGAGCCCAGTGTTGCCAACTTGGGCTGCCATCCTTCTGGTTTTTAAAAATATTTATTATTTATTTGTCTGCCACAGGTCTTAGTTGTAGCACACAGGATCTTTGGTCTTCCTTGAGGCATGAAAACTCTTAGTTGTAGCATATGGGATCTCATTCCCCAACCAGGGATTGAACCCAGGCTCCCTGCATTGGGAGCACAGAGTCTTAGTCACTTGGACACTGGATGGCAGGGAAGTCCCTGTCATTCGTCTGTTTTTGCCAGTCCAGGCCTCTCAGTCTTCATTCACTTCCAGCCCCAATTCAGGCCTCCTTTTTCCACTGCTCCATATCTCCTCAGCACTTGCTTTCCTGATGGGGCTGCTTTAAGGCACACTTATCTGGGACTCTTGGCTAAATGGTCTGGAGCTGTTGGGTATGTTTTCTCTCCTGCAGCACCAGTGGAGATTTCTTCTCCTATCTCCTGCCAGCTATGGAAGTGCTTTGTATGCAGTAGGTGCTTAATAAATGTTATTCTTCCTTCAGAGTCCCCAAACTATTGCCCTACTCCTTTCCCTGCTCCAGTTGAATCGATACCAAAAACTTGTCAGAGGTGAGATAAAGTCTTCTCCCTTTGCTCCAGTGCGACGTGTCCCTCCCATATGCCACCTGTAGCCCCAAGTTCCACAAAGGAATTTGGTAATGTCATCATCACCCCACATGTCCTGTAAAACCACCTCCAATCACTCACTCGTGTGTAAATTGGACATGTCACTAACAACCTCTGCTCTTCAGTTTCCTGTTAGGTAAAATAGAAGGGTTGGAAGGGCTTTGTTCATTCCTTACTTCATTTATTTGAAAGCTATTTATTGACACCAGTTGCCATAAGACGTATGAATTCAAGGGTGAACCAGACCTGGTTCACGCCTTCATGCATCTCAGATTTTATAGGAGGAGACAGAAGGAGTGGTTAAAATGCACCTAGAGTGGTACAGGGCAGAGGGGCTCTGAGGAAGGAGTAGCCAGGGCACCTGGAGGGAGTAGGGAGAAAGGTTTCATAGGAAAGGCAACTCTTACTACATAGGCTTCTAGGGAAACAGATTTTGGGTCAAAATAAGGAAGAATTTTCTAACAGAACTGCACACAAAGGGACAGGCTTTCATGGAAGGCCCCCTGTCGGGAGGAGCCTCTCGCAGAGCTGACAGGTGTGAGGATCCAAGAGCCTCCACCGAGGGTCTATTATGTATCGACACAGGGGCCAATGTGGACCGTGGAGAGTTCACTCTCACTTAGCTACGCTGGGGGCATCAGCTCTGGTGTGAATCTCTCCCACTGAATCTGAGTTAAACCTTACACACACATACACGCACACACACTCCCCAAGCCAGAGCCATCTGAGGCGACAAGCAAAAGGCAAGAAAGGAGGCGTTTCTGTATTATTGTTACTTTTATTCTTATCTCCTGTCAGACACAGACCAGGAAGGTGAGGCCAGGGAAGGAAACAGCGTGGACCCCGGGAAACTTGAAGGAGCTGAGGCCTGAAGGACTTGTGTCTGGGAGTGTTCTCTGCCCTCAGACATCCGAGAGAAAGCTCTGGGGCTGGGGAGCACAGGGGTGTTTTCCATCAGAAAGGTAAACAGTGTCTGAGCTGCGACAGTGATTGGACTAAAGGGAACAGCAGGAGAATGGTCTGGGGTGATCTGAGAAGAGCGGGGAATGAAGGCCAATGGCCAGATCCTGCCTGCAAACCCCAGGCTCCGTCTGCTTTTCCTCAGGCAGCCACAGGGGGACAGCAAAGTGCTTGTGTGCCATCCCAGGTGGGTCAGGGAGGGAGAGGTGGAGCCTCTTGGAATAAGTCTGGGTCATCCTGACTCCCCTGGCAGGTAAAGCTGAGGCTGGGAGAACCACGATTCCTGGGGCTTCCTCAGGTGATACAGGAGCCACACCTGAGCCTGGGGATTGGTGCTGGAGGCCAGGGACTTGAGTGTACCTCCCTAGCCCCCCCTCATCTACAATCCCCAGGAGAGGATCTTTTGGTTTGTCTTCCCCTTAGTGAGAGATCTCCCACCCACATCACAGATGGTCAGGCTCCTGGCTGCCTCCAGCTTTATCAAATCAACATGTCCCTTCCCAGGCCCAGCCCCACCCTTGCCAAAAATGTGAGGGGCCAACAGGTTCCCCTCCTCCTCGGCAGCTTGTGGCAGCTTCCCAGCTTCAGTTTCTCTGTTTCTTGTAATCCTACATTCCTGTTCCCCGCCCTTCCTCCTTCCAAGATCCATTCAGGTGTCCCCAGGCTCCTCGTGCTTCAGTGCAGGTGGAACAGAGGGACCTCAGTCCTGGCTCTGTCACCAGCTCAGCAGGTCACCCTCTCAGGACCCAGAACAGGGGCCTCTGCAACATACTCTGCTTTGAGGGGGCCCTTAATGGCCTCCTCAATGTCGTTTATGGCTGAGTGGAGTGCTTGCCCCCCACTCCCCCATGCTTTCAGAGTTCAGCCTCAGAAGAGCTTCTCACCCCAGTGTCTTCATGAACTGTCCTATGAAGAGGAAGGCTTGGATCAGTGGATTCTGAGAAGTATGACCAAGGCCCAAGCTGAAAATTACAGGGCAAGAGGTGGTGGAGATAACCCCTCTAGAACTCAAACTAGAAATCAGAAGAGGAATCAAGGGGACCTCAGAGGAGAGATAATAAAAAAAAAGTCAGTGCAAATAAGTGTTCTGGTGTCTCTCCCTGTGGCATTCTGGCCACGGTCTTCCATTTTGCTGATAGAAAAACTGAATCACAGCTAGCAAGAATCACTTGCTTAATACCATGAGCCCCTTGGCAATGAGGCACCAGAATCCTTCTTCCCAGCTTGTGTCTAGAAGTTGGAAACGATAGAGTATAAAATCCAGTGGTGGGAGCGGGGGAGCGGGGAGATGGAAGGCCAGGGGTGGTACTCAGGACCACAAACTCCCCCAAGCTGTCAGGGCCTGACCACTCAGTCTCATTCCAGCTGCCATCCAGCCTGTTAGCTGTAGGATCTTGGATCAAGCCTATCACCTCAGCTCTCCTTTGTGCCATGGGCATGTGCAGAATACTTCCTTTGCAGGATCGCTGTAACAGGTTTATTTAGATAGCACACAGGGAGCATCCCACCCATGCTCTCAGTTATCTCTGTTTCACATACCACCACCACCACCATCCATTCTTGATTCCCTCTCTCCTCACATCCAAGATGGAACAAAGCTTCAAATGCTTCTACAATATTTCTTACAAGTTGGAGATAGGAAGGATGGAGAAGGAGGGGTTGGGAATACATAGATAACATACCTAGTTACCCTCCCCAGGGGCAAAGAGAGCCACTGGCATGTGGGGAAAGAGGCAACCCTGGAGGGAGTGGTCAAGGAAGGGTCCAGGTATCCACTCTGAACCTCCCTGACTCCACCCAGTAACTTTCCACTGGCTGAGTTAGCCACTAGCCAAGGCAGCTTGCACACCTCCCCCAGGCGTGGCCCCCTGGTCCACTCTCCAGCAGACCTGAAGGGGGCTGGTGGCTGACGCATACACTCTGCCTGAGATCTCAGCTACCTGGAGGCTGATAAGGAGACCCGATCCCATCACATGGGACCAGCCGGAGGGACTGGCCCTGGTTGTTAACATCAGCTGGATGGTTTCCAAATTGGAGAGATGAGGAGATAGGAGTGGAATGATCTGGACCTCTGAACTGAGTGGTCAGAGAAGCTAGGAGTAGGGACATGGGCACTGCCAGTGGAAGCTTCAGGAGGCCCAGCTGGGGATAAGCCAGCAACTGGCAGTGGATGAGGGAGGTTTTGGAAGTAAGATGGGCAGAAAGGCCTTGGGGAAGGGCTGGAGGAAGGGCCCAATATCCTGCGGGGTCGGGGGTGCCACTGGCTCAGCAGCTACAATAAGTCTCCTTTTCCCAGAACACCCAGTCTTCTAGCACCCAAGCCCTTACTCAGCTTCAGGCCTGTGAGGGCAGGCTGGGGATTTAAGAGAAGGCAGTGACAGGATGTCGGTCTCAGTCCTGCCACATCTCCCAGGAGGATGCAGGTCTGGGAGGGTCAGCCATGCCCAGTTGGTTGGCTGCTTGCTCCCTTGGAATCTCAGGACAGGTCTCCACTTAGGAGCAGGGTTCCCCTACACCCACCTCTTGCCCTAGCAGTGCTGTGTTGTGACCCAGGAGGGTAGACCAAGGCAAGCACAGATGGTACTGGCTTCCTGGCCCTCTCTTCTGCCCCAGGGCTCAAGTGCCTAAAACAAGCCCCTGGTCCCACAGCTGAGAGAGGCTGGGAAGCCTGGGACAGCCATACTGTTTACCCAGGACCCCTGCCTCTCCGCGGAGCACCCACATCTTGTCTCCCAGTTGTCCTCCCCACCACTTCCTTACAGAATGTCAAAGCCTAAACTGCCTCCTAAAAGAGGAGGCAGGGTTTGGGCATAGGACAGTGTGCCCCAGGGTCCCATACTGTGGGTGGCCCTAGGAGGAATCACGGTGGGGTGGCAGGCTTCAGCTGGGCTTCCTGGGGCCTCTTTCCCACATTTGAAATCCTGCTGGGCTTCTCCCATGCATCCCATGGGTCCTCAAACCCAGAGAGGCCTCCAGCCTCGATGGTCCCAGTTTGGGAGAGATAACTGGGGGAAGGGGCGGCCAGGGGACAGTATGACCGGGTTCCACAGGGCCCCTGGCGGCATGGGGACAAGCTGCAGAGGGTGGGGCTGAGGACAGTGAGTGGGTTGGCCCAAGGCTGGGCTGGCAGCTAGCTTTATATCTCGGCTTGCAGGAGCACAGGGAGGGTCCGAGGACCAGCAAGGGGGCATCCTCTGAAGGAAGGAGGGGGTGGGAAGGGCTCCTCATTCCCGGTTGGTGCCAAAAAGCTGCAGGAAGAAGGTGAAGATATAGATGATGTCTAGGTAAATGTTGAGGGCTCCAAAAATATACTCTTCGGGGCTCAGTGAGTGGCGTCGGCTACCCATCAGCAACTGGGTGTCAAATGCCAGGAACTGAGGGAAAGAGGAAGAGAGAGAGAGGTCAGAAGGTCTGCTCGTTGTGACACTGACCACTGACCCACCCAGGCCCACCCCCGATATTGATATTACCTGTGCCCTGGCTGCCCAGTGATCCTCCTGTGAACTTTCTCAACACCTTCTATCCCTAATTTGATACCAATTTACTGAGCACCTACGATGTGCCAGGCACCGATGTGGCAAAGAACAAGACAGACAAGATCCCCGACCTCACAGAGCTCAGAGTCTAGTGGGTAAGTAATTGTTAGTATGGTGAGTAACCAAAGAGAAACCCAAAGTGCCACCAGGGACTGATAACAGGAACCTGACCTATGTGAGTGTGTCGGGTGTCAAGGAAGGCTTCCTGTAGGAGGGGACCTTCAAGTTGAAGCATAGTCTTCTTGCCATTCTCCTCAGGGCCCTAGTCTTAGAGGATGAATAAATGCTCAGTGTAACAGCGAGCAGGGAACAGGCACTTATTCAGTGCTTTACAGACATTACCTACTTCATCCTAATAACATCAGTATCTAGTAAGGATCCTACCTTTCCGAGAGGAAACCAAGGCCCAGAGATATTCAGTACATAACCAAGGTTACATAGCTGGGAAGTGACAAAGCCAGGATCTGAACCCAAGCAGGCTGACTCCAGAGCCCCCTCCTAGAACCATTCTGCTCTGTGGTTTATGGGCAGTACCCAGGGTTACTGTGTCTTCTGCCAGGAATAAGGCTCACCCGAGAGCCCCAGCAACCTGTTTAGAACTGCAGAGACCATGAGGAACACCATGCCATGCCTGCTTTCTGGGTTTCACCACTCAGTGGTGGGCACTTATGGATGATTACCATATAGCCTCGGAAATGCCATAATTAGGGCTGATTGGGCAGGAGGAAGGTGGCCCAGGAGAGGTGACTCTTTACCTGGGGCTTGCAGGATCAGTAGGGGTTTGCTAGATTAAGTGGGCCTGGGGAAGCCCTGGAGGTGAGGGTGGTGGTGTGAAGAATGAGGAATTCACCATGGGGAGACGTGGGGCAAAGGGACAGAGAGAGGCCAGAGCCCAGGGGCCAGAGGCTCCAACAGGGAGCAGCTCCAGCCTGTGGGACATCAAAGCACATCACCCTGGAGGGCGGGGAGGTGGTGGTGACTGCAAGTATGGGCTTGAGAGTCAGACTGGCTTGAATTCCAGTCTCAGTTTTGCCACTCACTCGCTCTGGGACTCTGGGCCAGGCTATTCAGTCCCTCTGAGCCGTTGAGTCCAACTCGGCAGAAGGGAGATGAGTGTGCTCACCTCCTGAGGTGATTGTGAGAGTGAGATAATGCGTGCGAGGCGCCTGGCCAGGTGCCTAACACCTGGTAGGCACTTAATGAATGGTGGCTATTAGTGTGGATTTACTGTTATTGTCTGCAGAAGGAAAGGTGCCCTCTTGAGAACATGTGTACGCTGTGCTGAGACGCAGGTGTCTCCTGCCACTCATCAAGGAGGCAGAACTGTCGCCAGGGGAAGCTGGGTGGCTTTCACAGTAGGCAAACAGAACCACAGCCAGGGCTGAGAGGGCTGTGTTCAAGGCACAAGAATACAGGACTGGAGTCGGAAAACCTAGGTTTGGGCTTTAATACCTCGGAGCCATCTCCCACTTGACCTCAGTGTTATCATCTGCAAAATGGGACTGTAATGATGACTGCACCATGGTGTGGTTTTGAGGGGTGATATCTGACAGTGTATGTGGCATCAACTTATTATTCTTTAATGTCATTTCACTCCATTCTACTCTGCTCCTTCTATTTTCGATTTGGATTCCCAGGTAAAGCTTCCTTGTGTGGGAGAACAAGCAGGAGAGGGGCTGACTCAAATGCTCCAGGCTGCTCAGTGGTCACGACTGCCAGCACAAGTTAATAAACTGCCGATCTGGCTTACCAATCACTGCTTGCTTGGTTGATTTCCCAGAGCCTGGTCACCCCTGGGTGAGCTAATGAAATCATATCTCTCAACCTAGAAGGCTTGAACCTGACCCTGTTGGAGGGGTGGGGGGCGGGTGCTCTCCAAGGAGTCTCCTAGAATAGCCAACTAGCTCTTCTCTTGGAGAAAAGTATTAATCACTCAGTCGTGTCCTACGCTTTGTGACCCCATAGACTGTAGCCTACCAGTCTCTCTATCCCATGGAATTCTCCAAGCAAGAGTACTGGAGTAGGTTGCCACTCCCTTCTCTGGGGATTTTCCTGACTCAGGGATCAAACCTGGGTCTCCTGCACTGTGGGCAGATTCTTTACTGTGTAAGCCACCAGAGAAGCCCTTCTCTTAGAGAAAAGAGGGATGAAATGGATCCTGTCCCTGCCTTTGGCTCATGGCCATGGATGCTGATCTCTGTGGGCTATGTGGGAGAGTTTACTCCAAATTTCCACTCCACAGCCCAGTACCACCCTCCACTGCAACCTCATGCCTGTTGAGCCAGCTGAAGGGTTTCCATTCATTTATTCCCAACAATATTTACTGAGCATCTATTATGCTACAGGGAATTGCCTTCAGAGCACTGACCTCCTAATGAGAGCAAAAGACATGATCAGAGATTACACTATGAGCATGGATGTACATAGGGGAAAGTAACTTGATAATCCCTCTGGGTGATGAGCACTGTTAACATCTTCGCTGAGAGCAGGTACCTTGGTTATAGTTAGCACCTTAGCTGGCCGTCAAGATCTCAGTTGAGAGCTAACAACTCAGTTGCCCGCTAACACCTAAAATGACAGCAGGTGCTTGAGTTGTGAGCCAGCTGGATATAAGACCTTGCAGGAGAGGCACAGCAGTCAGGGGTAGGAACAGGATGGGGGTGCTATTAACTTACATTTGAGCAGTCTTCACACACTAGTCCTTTATCTCACTTGCCCTGTTCACCCTAGGAGGTGGATAGTATTATCACTACTTTACATAGGAGGAAGGGAGGCTCAGAGCAGGTGAGTGACTTGCTGATGGCCACTTATCCAGCTGGAATCAGATTACCTGTCTCCTACATTCTGAAAGAGACAGTGAGGGTGGGGTGGGCTTGCAGGGAGGGAAGAGGCATGTGCAAATGGCAGAAAAGACAAAGGCAGACTTTCCTGGTTCACCCTACTGGTCAGGCTGGACCTGGCCAGGGCCCCCCCCAGGCCACACAGTCGGCCTGACCCTGTGGCACCCAGGCTTGTGTCTGCTGCCCTCCGGAGGTGAGCTGGAGGGGCTCTGAGCCATGCCATGGAAAGGGCAGCTCAGAGCCACCAACGAACAGGCACTGGATACAAAAAGCTGGGGTTACAATGGGTTGAATCAGCATAAAAAATAATATGCGGACCGTGTCCATCCCACAGAAATGCCAGCAACACACCCAAAGCTGTTCAAGGCAGCATTGCTTCTAACAGAGAAACCCTGGAAACAACCTCAAACTCTATCAACTGAGGCAGAAATATCTCTGATAACATCAATTATGAGAAATTAACTGACAGGAAAATCCATATCACATGAGCCCCTTTACCTAACAAAAAACCTATGACATAGAAGCTACCTAGCATATATCTATAAAATGTATATAGAAAGGTCTGGAAGGAGAGACAATTAACCACAGCAGTTACCACTGGGAAGGAAGGGAAGGATATGGCCTGATGACATTTGCTTTATATATATTATTTAAGGTTTTAAAAAATGAAATATATGAATAAATGTATTCGATCCCTGGGTTTAAAAAATCCCCTGGAGAAGGGCATGGCAACCCACTTAGTATTCTTGCCTGCAGAATCCCAGGGACAGAGGTGCCTGGTGGGTTACAGTCCATGGGGTTGCAAAGAGTTGGACATGATTGAGTGACTAAGCACGCACGCACATACTATATATTAGAAAATTTTAAAAGAAGGGCTAAAGTAACACAAAAAAAGAGTTCATGAACCCTTTCATTTAATTCTCACCACAAGCTCCTGGGGCAGATATTGCATAATCATCTCTATCATGGAACTGAGAAGACTGAGGCCCTGAGAATGTAAGTGCCTCACCCACTTCACACAGCTGACAGGACAGTCAATCCCATTCTCTTTCCACTGTGTGACATCACATTGGGGCGTGGGGTGTGTGTGTGTGTGTGTGTGTTAAAGGATGGAAGAGGTGGGAAGAAAAGTGTACCCAAAGTTCATGGCTAAGAGCCCAGTGGGCTATCTGAGGGGATGCAGGGAGCACTGGGCCCACCTGCTCCCCACTTTCTGGGCTAAAGAGTGAGACTGGGCTCTGAGGATTGCAGAGAAAAGAGACTAACTGCCAGCTTTAAGCCCTTATACCCTTGGTTGGAATGTAGGACAGGGAGAGGGCAGCTGAGTGGAGATCTGCTTCAGTCCCATAGAACATACTTCTCTTGTCTTCAGTAACCTGGGTGTTAAAAGTTTAAACAGCACAAGGGATTTCCTTTGTGGTGCAGTGGCTAAGACTCTCAGTTCCCAAGGGAGGGAGCCCAGGTTCAATCCCTGGTCAGGAAACTAGATCTCACATGCTGCAACCAAGAGTTCACATGCTATACCTAAGACCCAGGACAGCCAAAGAAATAAATAAATATTTAAATAAAAGAGTAGTTCTGTTTTTTTTTTTTTTTAAGTTTAAATAGCACAGATGATCTCTGCATGCTGCAGTCCTGGGAAGCACCTTCAGGTGGGCCACCACTACCAAACAAACAGGGTCTGACAGGGTTTGGACAAGAGGGGAGCAATGTGAGAAGGCAAGTGAAGGGTGTGCATGTAACAGAGCTCAAGAACATGGACTGGGGAGTCCCATAGACCTCAGTTCAAAGCTTGCCTCTGACCCTGGGCAACTGACAACTACTAACAGGTAATATTATTGTTCACTGATGACATGCCGGGCACTTTCTCAGTGCTTTGCATATATTGATTCACTTACAAGTCACAAGCTATGAGGTGGGAACTATTATCTGAATTTTATGCATAAGGAAACAGAAGTACAGAGAGTGACATGACTCAATCCACACAGCTTAAATGTT